CCTTTTTATATTCTGGGCTGATCTAGAGCGTCATGCTTTAAATATCACCTTCCAGAGGCAGTTACAGTGCATGGGGCAGTGCCAGATGCTGTGCTGCCAGTTGCAGTGGTACCGTCAGCTGCCAGCTGTGGTGGTAGCTATTTTTGTGCTCCCCCCCACCCCCGCATCCAAAAGACAACATCTGAGCCTGCTGTTTCAGTTGCCCCCCTTCAGTTACACTACTGCCACCTTAAGGAAAACAGCATCAATAAAGATGAGAAGCATCAATAAAGACTCTTCCAGGAAAGACCATGGCTTACTGCATGTCATATAATGTCTTGTTCTGTTTCCCTTCCCCCCACCATATTATCTGAAATTCTAGGTGAGTTAAAATATGAAAGGTCAGAGATAGGATATGATTCTCTCTCTTGCTCTCTCTTTCTTTCTCTCTCTCCCTCTCTTCCATCATCCCTTCTGCCTCCTCTCCTCTTCTACTTATAAATATGTAGGTGCAGTCTTGCTCCAGCTTCATGTCTGTGGGAGTTCAGCCTTGATTTTGGAGGCTTAAGTTGCCTGTTTGTTAGCCATTCTGTTTGGGGCAAGATGTGTGTACGGTCTCTGGAGATGCATTTTAACACATCTTACCCTCCCACTGTCCAATTCTACCACCAATCCAAAACCCAATCAAATGCCTGTGTATCATTATATATATGTTAATTGCTATAGCCTAGGTTCCAAAGAAGCTTGCTTACACACGTTCATTAGGTTGGAAAATATTCACTTTCGAGACTAGTATTTTTCGTACTTGGGCTGTGTCGGGAGGTGATTTTGTGTATGTAAAATCTGAATAAATCCCTTTGGCTATATTGAAAGGAGTGTGTCTGCGTTGTTGTTACTATTTATGTATATATTTTTTAAAACCTTAATTTGAACAGAGAAACTGCAAAAAGACCTCATTAAAACTTGGGCACCAACATAGTCCTGACTGAGCTATCATGTCATTTAGCATGGGATTTCACTTAGCAAAGAGTTTGTAAAATGTTTTTTGACTTACCAAATGCTTTTTGATATCTAGCAATTTCCTGAAGATCATGAATTGCAAAGTATTCTAATATTATAAAAGCCTAAGTCTGTCTGTCTATCTGTCACTAACACTTTATTTGCACTCTGATTGGCTGATGGAAACAGCATGGGGGAGTGCCGCCATGATTCTGAAGCCACACCAAGAACTGGACAGAGGACAGGGGAGCCGAGGCCAGCAGTGCTGGCCTTAGCTCCCCCACCCCACTCCCTGCAAGAGGCAGAACAGCAGCAGCATGGGGCATTAGGTGGTGGCACTCCATCCCAGCTCCCTCCCCATTCTTGACGGGCAATTGGCTAGTTTATTTAGAACTGTAGGAAGAAATACAAATGTATATATAGCTCAGTGAAGTAAAACCTGGGTGATTCAAACACAAACTCTCCACTGGTGAAATGGGTGGAGCATGTAAACTGCACAAGCCAAATGACTCTACAATTTTTCTTTTTTTAAAATAAGCGCAGGATATTATGGACTGAATTTTCAAAATCAGCCAATAAAGGATATATGAAAATATGTCTTTGGAGGGAAAAAATACATGTATGCTAATAGTCAATTAAAGCATGTAACTTCTTTTAACCGAAAAGTTGAGCAAACCTCTGTTGAACTCTCTGAAAAGATGATCACCATCTTTGAAAACTGGGTTATTTATCAAAGTGCCTAATATGGCTTGACTATCTGATTTTAAGCACACAAATGTGAAAATATTGAATTAGGCAAACCATAGAATCATAGAAAATTAGAGTCGGAAGGGACCTCAGGAGGTCATCTAGTCTACCCCCTGCTCAAAGCAGGACTGTCCCCAACTAGATCATCCTAGTCAAGGCTTTGTCAAACCAGGCTTTAAAAACCTCCAAGGATAGAGATTCCATCTCTCTGGGTAACCTGTTCCAGTGCTTTATCACCCTCCTAGTGAGAAAGATTTTCCTAATATCTATTTTTGTTGCTCTCCATTGGACTCTCTCCAACTTGTCTGCAAGTTTTCTATAGTGGGGGGTAGGGGGCAGAAAAACTGGACACAGTATTCCTCACCAGTACAGAATGGAGTGGAATAATTACTGCCCTCAATCTGCTGGCAACACTTCTACTAATGCAGCCCAGTATGCCATTAATCTTCTTAGCAACAAGGGCACACTGCTGACTCATATCCATCTTATTGTCCACTATAACCCCCAGGTCCTTTTCTGCAGAACTGCTGCTTATCCAGTCAGCCCCCAAGTTGTTGTGGTACATGGGATTCTTCCATCCTAAGTTCAGGACTTTGCATTTGTTCTTGTTGAACCTCATGAGATGTCTTTTGACCCAATCCTCCAATTTGTCTAGGTCACTCTGAATCCTAGCCCTACCCTCCAGTGTATCTACTATACCCCCCCAGCTTGGTGTCATCCATGAACTTGCTGAGGGTACAATCCATTAGGGCTGTGCTAAATTTCACTGAGTGTTTTGTTTTGAAGCTGGTTCGATGCATTTCGAGCTCAAAACAGCAATAGAACAAAAAGCTTCAAACCAGTTTCAAAACGAGATAAGGGCACTCAAAACGTTTCAAAAGTTTTGAAACGCTTCAAGTTTTGAAGCAGCCCAGTAGCAGTAGGCAGTGGAGAGCCAGGGCTGTACTCTGAGCGGCTCTACAGCCCCATGGAGCTCAGCCCAGCGGCAGGAGGTGGAGCGCAACCCTTGCTCTGCCCGCCTCCTGCCACCGGCCTGCACTCCATGGCACTGTGGAGCTGCTCAGAGCACAGCCCTGGCTCTCCCCTGCCTCCCGCCACCAGGCCGGATGACAGGAGGCTTCTACTGCTGCCTGGGTCCAGTGGCAGCATCAGTCTTCCCCAGTGCTGGGTGCAGGCTGCACCCAGCACCAGTCCCAGGCAGCAACGGCAGCAGCAGCTTCCTGTCATCCGGTGCAGGTCCAGGGTCCCACACCCCCAGGATGAGTCTGGCACAGCCTTGCAGCTCTCTCAGGGGTGCAGGCCCCTGGATCTGCACCAGATGACAGGAGGCTACCACTGCTGGCAAGTGTCCCGAGTTTTTTCTTTTTGAGGTTTGAGGTGCAGTTTCTGAAAAACCTCTGCACCTATCTTCTTGAAATGTGGCAGACTTCATGCCCTTCATGACTTGCCCTTGGTGAATCCATGCTGACTGTTCCTAATTACCTTCTTCTCCAAGAGCTTAGACATGGATTCTTTGAGGACCTGCTTCATAATTTTTCCAGGGACTGAGGTGAGGCTGACTGGTCTGTAGTTCCCTGGATTCTCCTTCTTCCCTTTCTTAAAGAAGGGCACTATATTTGCCCTTTTCCAATCATCCGGGACCTCCCCTTATTGCCACAAGTTTTCAAAGATAATGCCCAGGGGCTCTGCAGTCATATCAGCCAATTCCCTCAGCACCTTCTGATGCATTGCATCTGGTCCCGTGGTCTTGTACACATCCAGCTTTTTAAATGGTCCCTAATCTGTTTTTTCACCACTGAGGGCTGCTCACCTCCTCCCCAAACTGTGCTGCCCGATTCAGTAGTCTGGGAGATGACCTTGCCTTTGAAGACTGAGGTAAAAAAGGCATTGAGTACTTCAGCCTTTTTCTCATCATCTATCACTAGGTTGCCTCCCCTATTCAATAAGGGACCCCCACTTTTCCTGACCTTCCTCTTGTTGCTAACATACTTGTTAAAACCCTTCTAATGACCCTTCATGTCCCTTGCTAGCTGCAACTCCAATAGCGCTTTGGCCTTCCTGACATCATCCTTGCATGCCTGAGCAATATTCTTATACTCCTCCCAAGTTGTTTGTCCAAGCTTCCACTTCTTGTAAGTTTTCTTTTTGTATTTAAGTTCACCAAATAGTTCTTTGCCAAGCCAAGCTGGTCACTTGCTGCATTTGCTATTCTTCCTGATCATTTGTATCTCAGGAGTATCAAGAGGCCTCTGTGCGTTGCATGCTATACATACTATACATGCTAAACATAGAGGATTACTGCCCAAAGAGTTAAGTATCAGTCTTTTAGAGCTGTTTAGGTAGGCCTGACACCCTCTGGCAGAGTCGAGATTCAGCACAATATCATCCTAGCACAGGGGTGCTCAACTTCCAGCCCACAGGCCAGATCCAACCTGCAGCACCATGTCATCTACTCCGCAGGGCTCCCCATGGGTGTGGAAATTTGCTGGTGGGGAGCAGTGCCACCACTTCCCTGCTGCCAAATCTCCAGACCCATGAGGATCCCTGGGCCCTGCATGCTGGATCTGGCACATGATCCCAGCAAGCAGGGCTGGACGGAGGAAGTGCTGAATCCCAACACCCAATTCCAGTGTGGAGGCCAGGAGGGTGTGGCACTGGGCCCCCAGGATTTAATCCGGCACTCAGGAGATGGGAGAGGGCAAAGCTGGGTGCCCAGGACCCAATCCAGGCATGGAAGGGGTGTTGCTGGGCCCTCTGGACCCAATCCTTGTGCATAGGGGGCAGGAGAAGGCATTGCCAGGCCTCCAAGACCAAATCCCTTCCAGGGTGATGAGAATGGATAGTGCTGGGCCCTCAGAGCCCAGTCCTGGTGCACAGGGCAAAGATAGGGTGATACCAGTCCCAGGGTCCAATCCAGCCCACAGACAGGCCCTGTACCACTCATCTAGACCATGGGGCCAAAAGTTTGAGCTCCACTGTTCTAACACATTCTTTATCACTTCCCACTTTTTGAGCCCCCAGGTTCCAGCAGGACTGAAAAACAAAGCCAAAAGACTACCACACCAATGAAAGGACAGTGTTTTGTCCCTCGGTCTTACAAAGCTGTTGCAAATCTATGCATATTCTTCTTACTTTATAGGAATCAAGAGGTAAAGTCAGATTAGTGATGATAACGTTATCTTGTTGATATGACATATGAATTAACACAAACATGCTGAAAATTTGACTTTCAGGCCTTCCCAGGCCCTATGATACTGTTTGTGCCCTTATTTCAGAACTTGTAAAAGGTGAACACCTCAACTGTAGGAAGACTGTCTGCTTTCATTTATTTATTTTGAAGACCGATGATAAAGTAAAATGAAGAAAAGCAGGCCAAGTTTTACGTGGAGTAATATAATCCTGATTAATCATTGCCCTAAGAAAGCCAGCAGGGAAGGAGACAGATGGGACGGGAGCAGGGGATTAGCTGGTAGTGGAATGAACTGTTAATCTGTTCAGTCTAGAGAACTACAGGAATGTATTTGTGTGCTGCTGTCCAGGACAAATATGGTCTCTTGTTGCTGTCAGTGTTGGACAGATACTTCTAGGTTACCGGGTAGTGCTGTTTGCTGTGTTCTCAGCAGGCATACCTCCTGATCATTTTGAAGCATTATCCTGTATCAGTCAAGTGCATTTATATACTGAAACACAGCTCTCTGCAAGGGCTGTTACTGTATCGATGTTGAATCATTTACTGCTATCCCCTCCAAGAGTTATCCCGCTTTCTTGCTCTTTCTCTTGCTTTCTTCTCAGTTCAGAGTAATGATAGCAATTATTGCAATGGTACAAGATTATTCTCTACTATATATTTTCCTTTTTTGTCCAGTCTAGTTCAGAATATTCCAACAGAGGGAAACTTTTGGCTCTTCCCTTGACTGATTTTCATATAGAGGAGTGTATTTCACCATCTGGTGATGTTCCTAATAATCAGCGGAAATGGCATTCATATTATTTTTATAATTGTGTATACTGCTTTAAAGAATGTCTCTCCCTACTAAGAAGCAGGAGATAAGAGTGAAATGGGTATCTGAGAGCAAAACATATTCACCCCACTGCTGTTCTTTGAGGGTATGCTGCAGAAATCTGTTTTTAATTATCTGCTTTTGACTCAGAGGGTCCACAGTGAACAATCCTATTTGGGACCTAGCAGGATTTTAGGTTGATTTGAAAATGCTTGTGTACCACTGTTTAAATTCAGAAAGAGTGGATTCTGCTCTTCATTAAATGCCATTTAATGAACTGTTAAGGGCAGAAGAAAGAGAGATGTAAATGACTCATTTTCCTTGAAGGATTTTCCTGTGTCTCTTGATTTATTATGTAGTGTAGGACAGTGCCAACAAAGTCAGTTAGGCACGGAATTCTTTTATTAGTCTGTAATTCTGTGTGGTGTTGGGAAGTTCAGGAATACCATAAATGGAGAGAAACAGGTTTCTCAGCAATGTATTACAGGGTTTCAGACCTACTTGCATGGACGTCAGAGGATTAGCTCTGTATCTGGCAGAACTGTTTCTTTCAGCAGTGCAGAAATCTTTTGGCAAATATTTCCACATTTATGGGAAAAACAAACTCTACTAGGAGGAAGGATACAGGAATATCACTGACACCTTTCTAATTTACCTCTCCCTAATCTACCCACTGATGCTCCTATTACCATTTGCTTTTCATGCTAAAGCTATTATTTTCAGGTAGATACTTTGTTTTCAGAATCCTTCACTGTAGCTGCAACATTATTTATAAGCATATATTGAAGTACCTAATAGAATCCATTGCCATTGCCTTGGGGGCATATCATTTCTGTTGGTGTACAGGTAGCTGAGGTAGCTTATTGGGGCAAAAGATGTGGTAAGTCTGCTCAGCAGCAAGATGAGAAATAATATATTTTAGCAGAATAGTTTAATTTTTCCTACAGCTCTGTTGTATGTGCTATGATCTGAGCTCTTTATTCCTGACAAGCTGTCCCTCAAAATCTATGAGAATTCAAAGTGATTGAACAATGGGAGGTGTGGCAGAATTAAGAACTTGTCTATATAAGAAATCCACAGTGTGCGCACAAATTAGCTAGGTGTAATGTGGCCCCTGTCCAGAAATTGCAGGGCCCAGGAGCAATGGACCATCCTGAGACTGCTCCAGCAAACCAAATTAGGAAGCACCTGCAGCAGCTCAGGGAGGCAGGTGACCAGCAGGGGGCAGGGCCAGGGCCAGGGCTGGGGAGATACATAAATGCAGGCCCAGAGCCGGAGGCCAAGAAGTCTGACTCTGAAGGCCAAAGGGCAAGGAGCCCCATGGCAGACTGCTTGTTGGTGGGAAAGATCCTATTATCTTGGAGAGAGGCCAGTAAAATGCTGAGGGCTGGCAGAGAAGAAGGCTCAGTACAGACAGGGAATTTCAGACAGCCAATGTGCTGGGTGTGACAGGGGCAAGCTTTCATACCTGGTGCAAGCACCGGCCCACCTCCTGTCTATGAGCCAGCCAGCCACCTCACTCTTCTGCCACGCTTTGATGTAATAGTATGTTAATTGTTATGTTAATGTTAATAAATGTTAATTAGGTGGGAGGCTGCACATTTTGAACCCCGATGTTTAGGGGAATATCCACAGCTCCATTCCACCCCTACACTATGGCCCAAGCCTCACAGATGGCATCCCAGGCAGCTAAACTCAGCTGTACCCTTCACCCCATTAGCTGTGATCCCCTCTCTGGCATCTTTGGCTCCCCCTTAGGCCCTGGCTCTATCTCAAGCCAGTCAGGATCCTGAGACTCTCTGCTCTGGGCATCCCTTGTGGTGGGCCACCTTGGCCCTTCAACCCCACTTTGGGTCCTCGCCCCAGTATGGGCCAGTCGAGTGTCCCTCAGGACAAGTCTAAGCTTCTTGCCTGTTCACAGGGCTTGGGGTTCCCCATTTCCAGCTCAGATGCTTCACAAAGCATGCCTGGCCATAGAGGGTCACTAACCCCAGCATGCTTAGGCACTTCAGTAAGCTTACCTGGCATTATACAACCCATCTGAAGGTGGGGGGGGGCTGAGATTATGGTGCCCTGACCATACACTGGAGAGGTGATCACTCCTGATATTTACATGGGGGCTGCCACACCATCAGGAGCCCCATCAGGCCTTCCTGCCCCTGTAGGGTGCAGTTTTAGGTCATGCCCAGGACCAGTGACGCCTCTACCTTCCCCAAAGCCTCACCCTTATCTGCAAGGTGTTCCTGGCAGAGCTCAGCAAGAGATGTTTCTCCTCTGCTGGCTGATCACAAATTGCCCTCAGCATAGGGAGCTGGGCCTTAAAATGGCCACCCTCACCAGGCACCTGCCCCAACCAGTGCCCTGCCACACTGGGGAATTAAGTTGGAGTCAGTGGGCTGATGTTTCAGTTTTTGTTTTAACTGACGGTTTGTGAATGGAACTGTGAGGGGTTGGCTGGAGGTCCCATTAGTGTCTTAGGGGCACATGATCACCTTGAGCCCTGCTGAAGCCAGGCCAAGGCAGAGCCCAGAGCAGGGCTGTGTGTGGAACCAGAGAGCCCAAAGCTAGGTGGAGCCAAGGCCCAGTGGTCTATTGAGAGCTAAATCAGTCTTACTGCCCAAAAATGGCCAGGACAAGACTGGGACCCAGAAGCCAGGTCTGGCACAGTGGGCCTACAGGAACCACCAAGAGAAAAAGAGGGCTGAGGCCAGAAAGTCCAAGTCCTGACATGGATATAAAGGCCTCATGCATCCAAGTGTTGGGTTAAGGCCAAGTGTTCCTGAAACCACGCAATTATCCCTGGGAGCAAGAGAGAATGAGGCCAGGCTTGGGAAGCCTTGGGGCAGCCTCCCTTTCTTTAAAAGACCATAACAGTAAGGCATGGTGGGAAAGCAAAGGGGAGAGTGACCAAGCAGGGCAAACCAAGCAAGGGCTGAGAGGCCACCAGGGGGCATTGTGGCCACCTCCTGTGATAAGCACCCTGTTATGTTAGGGGATAAACGTAAAGTGGAGTAGTTACACTACGTTAGTTCCCTGCGTAGATGCTCCTACTCTGTACCATGATTGCATTCAGACTTTAATCCACCATTGAGAGTGTATTAGAGTGTTGTGTATAAGTTGTTACATTTGCCTGGGGACTGCAGGAGGGAACATCAGAACTGTAGGTTAGGTACTGCTCCCTGAATAAACAAGCATTATCATTCTATAAGCTTAACTCATTAGTCTTTTGAGAACAACACATGGTACCAGGAGTGGGATGTGAAGAAAAACAAAAAAATGGAGCATCACAGAATTCCAGAGGAGTTAAAGCTGTCCAGCAATACAGCAGAAAACTGGCAGAAGTTTAAGCAGAGTTTTTCCATATATATGATGACCAGTGGAGCTACAGAGAAGGAAGATTCACTGAAGGTAGGGTTTTTTTTAATATAGCAGGCCCAGAAGCTCTGTCTTTTTATAATCGCCTACAACTGTCAGAAGCAGAACAAACAAAATGAAACATTTGAACAGTATACTTTCCATATGCGATAGCAGAAAGAATGTGAGACAATAGAGGAGTTTGTAAAAGACCTCAGACTGCTGAGCCAGACATGCAACTTTGGAGACCTAAAAGAGTCCATGATCAGAGACCAAATAATATTGAGTGGAAGGGATACAAGCCTCAGGAAAGACTGCTAAGGGATCCTGAGCTTAATTTGGAAAAAGTAGTTAGAATGTGCCAAGTAGCTGAAATAACAAGCACCAGGCTGCAGAAGCAGGAGGAAAAAGCAGAACAAGCTGAACTAGAAAGGATTACAAAATTACAAAAACCTATGGGAACACACAAACAATACAAAAAGGAGGACCTCACTATGAAGCAGGCAAGTGAAGGCCAAAGAGAATTGCTTGAAGAAGCAATGGTCAGCTGCAGATGCTGTGGGGGTTACCACAAATGCATGCAATGCCCTGCATTTGGTAAGCGCTGCAACAAATGCGAAAGATTCAATCACTCTGCAAGAGTTTGCAGAAAGGAGCAAAACACAACACACAAGAAATAGCAGGTGCATGCTCTATGCAATGAAGAAAATGAAGAATTCCTCATTGGTACAATGCAAGAAGAAGTTAATTCTTCTGAAGATTGGACAATCGCCCTGGACACCAATGGACTAATGGTAATTTTTAAATTAGATACAGGGGCACAGGTCAATGTGATACTGGAGCACATTATTCAAAAAATGAAAACTAAATCAGTGTATGATGAAGATAAGAAAGTGAGACTTAGAGCATATAATGGGAACATGATTGCAACCAAGGATACACTGCATGTTTTACACAAGGGTA